CTTTTTTTTTGTTAATACGTTACAACAAAGTTAAACTATCTTTAATCAAATCAAAGATTATTTACCTCTTATTTTTATACAATAAAACAAATTAAAGAAAAAACTGTATCATAATATGTTTATCATTTTACAACTTGTAATTTTTTATATTACAACATAGATGAATGTATATTTTAGATATTATTGTTATAATTTTATTTTTATTAATACGAAGGACGACGTTAATTAATTAATTTATCCATGGTTCAACCAAACCAAATACTCTGTATCCATTACTATCATTTTTGTTATTTTAGGTTTGAACATTACACATAATTAATGATTCATAAGATTCTGTAAATAATTGTAACGTAATTAATTAACAAAAGCCCCCAAAATTAGCTTAGTTGTAAACAGAGGATTTTCCCTTGATTTCATCGGAGAATTTGCAAATTAAAACAACACACATTGATCTCATCTCCGTTCAATGCCTTCAATTCCGTCGCCACCGCCAAATCCGGCGTCCGCCGCCAACTGTCGCATCTCCGTCTTCTCTCTTATCCTTCAGTTTCCTTGAAATGCAGATGCTCATCTTCCTTTGCTCGTGCCTTTTCAGGTATATCACTTTACAAGCCCTCCATTTTATCATCCGCTGCTTAATTTATAACTGTTTTCTGTATGTGCTGAGGGATAACGTGGGTAGTTATATGATCAGGTGTAAGAGCTCAGTTGGAAACTACTGAGCGAGCAGTTTATGTGGAACCTCCCGTTGTGGTTATTACAGGAGCTTCTAGAGGAATTGGGAGGGCTGTTGCTTTAGCTTTGGGAAAATCTGGTTGTAAGGTCATCCATTCAGATACTTCGTCTATATTTAGTTAAAATAGCCTTATGGTTTTGGATCATTGTTATGGATTAGATACTTGTTGACTGTTTGGCCTTCAATTCGTGAGTAAATTTGTCAATTTTGATAGATTAGGACTTTTTACTACCACAATGAAAAGGAAACTTTTATTGCCTGGAGGATAAGCTTTCTTTAATACGTCACGTATTTGTAACTAAGTTTACTAGGAAACCCTGTGATTTTCTTGTTCAACAGCATCAGTTTTTATAAATAGAAATAGTAAAGAGCAGTTTCATTTTTTAGATACAGTGGTGGTTGCTTAAGTTGTATTTTTTGGGCAATAGATCAAAAAGGAAGTATTTGAAGTATCTGTATTTGTTTTTGTGCCCCCAAATTTGTTTTTTGGCAGTGATATGAAGTAATCTGGAGTGCAACTTGGATGATTTCATGGTTATTGTTAACCTTTTGCTTGAATATCCTTTTTCTGGTCTATCTTTTCCATTGCTTTCACATTTTAGTGAGACATATTAATCTAGGGTGTAGCCAAAGTTCACCATTTTGACTCATTATTCGTCTTTAAAGGTCGTATAGGATGCTCTGAGTTCCAATTTCCTTAGAAACCTTGAATAATGCTTTAGGCCTGAGCTATATGTTATGATATATGTTCTCTTTAAAGAATATACTTTAAATCAAAATTTATGTTACGCCATGTGTATACCTGAGAAATCTCTCACATACTCTCCCCACCCACTTGATATTTTGTTGTTAGGTCCTAGTGAATTATGCAAGATCTTTAAAGGAGGCAGAAGTTTCCAAACAGGTGTGTTTCTTTTTTCAGTCAAAATCTGCTGTGATTTTGTTATTTTACTAAATTCCTCCAATTCCATCTGCTGTGATTTTTGTTATTTTACTAAATTCCTCCAATTCCATGTGATATATTTCCTTTTTGTGGTTGAAAGTTGAGAACATGGAACTGTACTTTTGACTTAAGAATGATGTTTGAAAGAGTATTCCAGCACTTTTTTCACCATTCTTAGTGCTGAATGGTTCATATTGTCACTTCTTCTTTTACTTTTTTGTTTCTTTTAGGGAGAATACAAGTTGATAGACCACATTAAACAAATGTCATTTGATAGCAAAGATCAATTTTATAAGTTGGATCTCTACCACACCCCAAAACAGGATGAGACGTGGCCGACACCTGATACATGCCAATTGGACCAACCAAACTTTTATTTTTTTAACAGTTGTGGTGTGCAATGCTGCTTGCACGTAACTCAACTAATTCATCGGGATACGGTCACCTGGTATCAGGTAATTTTTTCCATCAAGGTATCTGGTGTTGATGGGAGTTATCTTGTAGAATTAGTCGAGATGCACGCAAGCTGGTCCGTACACCACGGTTTCTAAAAAAAGTAGAGAATGTACGGAGTCCTATCTCACACATGACCGTCATACTTACCAATACATGGCCCTGACATCATGAACACAATGTTGCCCGAGTATTGGAATTTCAGTATAGATCATAGCCAAGAAACTCATGGTGAGGCAAGAGCTATGCATAATATAATATTGAGTGCAAGAAAAAGATAAATCAATTATGCAATTTAATATATCAAAACATAGTGTATACATTTTAATCCACTCTAGCATTTAAAGTAGTCATAAATCTTTCAAGGCAAGATTAGAAATTATCAATTTTAGAAACAATACACAGTCTTCTGCATGTATTGCAATGTTACTATAATATAGCCCAATCTTTCCATCTATGTTCCACTGGATTTATTATGATCATCAAAGTGTGACAAGCATTGTTTTAATTTGTAGTCTCAATGTCCATAACATAAGATTCTCATAACAATCATGATGCAATGCATCGAGATACCATCCTTGTAGCATGACATACTCTCCCCGCCAGATAGACTATATGAAACCATTATGTAATGCATTGGGATATCATCCTAAAGTTTGATGTACTCTCCTCGCCGGATAGGATATATGTAATGCATCAAGGATCCAAGAAGTATGATCTACTCTCCTAACCTGATAGGCTAAGTTGCTCGGACTCGGGTACGGGTATACGATCCGGATTCAAATCTGAGGGTCGGATTAGGAAAAATCTAAACTTTTTAGATTCGGGCTACGGATCCAAATATGGATACGGGTGTTGGGCTTCGGCTAAAAATCCAAAATTATAAAATAGACATATAAAGATATCCTAAATTATGATAGATCTTCTAGATTTTCTTTCCCACCCCCAACTTCTTCTTTCAAGCTTTTTGGTTCTTCCCCTAAAAAAAGGAAAAAGAAAGTCATTCAAGACTTTCCACCAAAGTTCCAGATCAATTATTCGCAGCAATCGCTTCGATCCGCCCCCTCTCTTCACAGATCATTGCTACTGTCAATCGGAAGTCGGAACACAACCGCTTGAATTCTTAGCTTCTTTCAGTCTGGCTTGAAGAATGAAAAAATGAATATTGACCAAGAGGAAAAGCTAAAAAAGAGAAAAGGACCACAATATTAAAGGTATGTCATTCCTCATGAACTCTGTCCAAAGTATCAGATGTGGGTTGATAGAACCCCACATGTATCCCGCACCTGCACCCATGTCGTGTCGACAAGGGTGCGTCAGCAAAAGTGAAGAGTCTCCGCAACTTAGTGATAGGCATATATACATTGAGATTTCAAAATCATGACTTGTAGCTAAAAAACTCATTTTCTGTAATTCATGAAGATCCAAGAAGTTGCTCCCCCGGCGGGATTGGTAATGCAGAATTGTGATATTATATTCCATTGTATGTCATGACATTTTAGCTTTTCTTAATTAAGTAGCAAATTTCATATATTCAATGAATATCAAGAGAAAGGAGTACAATGCTATAGTCAGAAATATGCCAAGGATCATATTAATACAAACGCTTCATGGACATCATTGTAGATAGATAGTATGATGTGCCATACAATACTGTAAAGATTGCATAAGAGCCCTAGACACTTTTACATAATTCAAGACTTAAACATGTAGGAGCATTTATCAATACTAAAGCCTAAGTCCCAAAAATTTAAAGAAAAAAACATATTCCTTCATTGGAGATTGATTCTTGTATTTAACTCTAATCTATTCATTAAATGTCTTATGGAGTGTGATCGCTTTATTTTTAAACTCAAAGTAACAGAATCCATATCCACCCATCAATATTCATCATCTCTTTTCCGAAAATGACAATTTTAATGATCCATTTCTAGGGTTCCTTCAATAACTCATTCCAATTACAAATACTAAATACAACTCATATCATCCTCTTAACCCAATACTTATACCCAATCTATGCTCTGAGGAAGGAAAGAGAATACTTCAGTAACACCATAAAGTTGGAATGTATGTGGGATCGAGTTTTCAAAGCATTTCTGGTAGGTGACTTAGAAATGGTAACATTAGCAGTATATGGCTGCAGAAGTGCAGCTGTGCAACACAAATTAAAATGATGGTTAGTCTTTTCAGAAAGCCTACTGTTATTTATTGTTCTAGTTTTGATAACTGAAATATCATTATGTAATTTTCCTTGATGGTAACATCTTTTTTTTTAAAAAAAAAAAAAGGAACAACTGTTTGTGTAGACTGCACTTGGTCTCCCTGTCTTGAAGCATCCTCTAGGCCTTTTCTTTCCATATAGTTCAAAAAAGGTGTCTCGTGTGCTTTGATATATAGCATTCTCTTTGTGAGTGCCTAATAAATGTCAGTAATGAGGATACCATTTCCCAAGGCTCTGAAGTTGCTCTACAATGTCTCAGCAATTAATCTTCATCTTCCCTCTCATCTTTGATTCTTTGAGAAAGGAGTTCTGTTTAATAGTGGTCTTCAATTCTCCATCTTAGGGTACAACTTATGGTAGCACTGGGTTATGTCTTCTCTAATCCCCTCTTCGCTGGAAATTCATGGCCATCCATTGATTTTTTTCCCATACGGTTGTATCTAATGTAAACATTGGCCATTGTTATCTCCTTTTTAGCCAGGTGCTGGTGATCTTCATCTCAGAATCACTTCTTGTGCTACAAGTAACTTTCCCAGCTGACCTTTCTATTCTTCACGTTGAATTTTATCAGCTTTCGATATTGTTACATGGTAATTTCCACTTATCACCAACTTGTAGCATGGTCTGTTTGCTACCTCTTTCATACAATTCTTGACCATCTTTTTGAAGTTCTCATGGTGTAGTCACAGGTTTGAATCTGAAAGGAACAGTACCTCATACATCCAACAGCAATCTAGTATATTTTTGGATTGTTATTTGATATCAATTTTGTCAGGGTTTGCTTATTTGAGTTCTATAATTTCTCCTTATTCCATGGATATCAACATCTTATCCATTGGGGAAGCATAGAAGATATTTGATCTGATCTTGGTTGATGAAGCCAGAGAATTCAATCAATACTATAGAGGTTTCCTTAGCAAGCTTCTTTGCTCCAATTCATATCTTAGTACAGTAAGATCATCTGCTATCACCCAGGACATGACCATCTTTGCTGTGTCATGCAGTTGTCTTTTACTACTATCTATCTATCTCCGTTTTACTTTGTCTTCTCCTCTGGTTGATTGACAATCAGGCATGTGGCACAGCTAACAGACCCATGGTCCAGCATCTTTTACTATTTCTCAGTTCCATTGTAAATTATAATCAGTTCTTTATCAATTTAGAATTTGGAATCTAGGAGTCGGTCTAAGAAATCATTGTGTAGAAAATCATGCTTACTATTCCTCCATCTAAGTTAATCAACCATAAAGTCCAATTCCATGTTGTAGTTGAGAAATTCCTGTAATTAGATTGTCTTACTCACTTTCTCGAGTGTTCTCTGCTGTCCTGCACCCTATGATACTTTCAGCAAACACATTTATCAAACCTCTGACGTGTCGTTCACAATTTTATCATTGCTGCACACATCAGGTTTGAGTAAAAGCATTGGAATGGGAAATTAGGGGCATTCATGTAAAAGTAACCATTTCATTTAAATTAATTTTTACTCGACATAGCCTTAAAGGAGCTTTTTGATAGTAAGTTTCCGAAAAGGTTTCCGGGGAAATTTTTGGTGTGGCAACGTTTGTGCTGTTTTCCTCCCAACAACTGAAAATGATGCCTTATGTCACTTAGAACTACCCGAGATTGTTATGTTTAAAATGAGAAGACTCCAGTCAAGTGTGAGTCCTTCCAACATGTTCTACCCACTGTTGTTCCTTGTATATATTCATTTCCACAACTATGATATGAGCTCATGATAGTTGGATAGCAAGTAAACATTGTTTGCTAGAAAGCATAAAACCAAAGTAGTAAATAGTAATACTTTTGAAATTGCAGAAATTTAAGAAATTCTTGTTTGGACTTCTATAGGTCTTATGGAAAATACATCATATATACTTGGATGCCTTAAAAGAATAGATCAGTTATACATCTTCTGAAGTGAAGAACAAGGTCTCCTATAACTCCAGAAACTGGTAAGCCATCGACAAAGTGATTCTGTTCTCTGTTTTTTTCAGATAAAAGTCAGAATTGTTGTCATGAGAAAATTGCTAGCAACTAATCTGATGTTCATATTCCAAAACCAATAGTGTTGTGAAATTACCCTTTTGGAGCACTTGTACTGGTTACTCCTTTTTTAATGGAAGTCTCAGTCCAAAGTCATGTGAAGATATCTGGTGACCAGTTAAGCCAATGATGTTTTGGTTAATTTGTGCAGCCAGAATGTTGTCATGTTGTATTTATTAGCTGATGCTACTAAAAATTGCAGGACTACTTTTTATTTTATGAGTAATGATAGTAATGGTTACTGCTTGTTTGACAAATGAAGAAAGCTTACCAGGAGTGTCAAACGACTCTAGTATCTTCAGTCCCAATCAGCCACTGACCCACCCCAAATGCTATTATTACTGTGACTTAGGTTCTCCTTACCATATGAAAGTACCTTTCCTTACCAATTTGCCTTCATAAAGTAAAAGATTGAATGTCATGCTCCTAAAATTGCCGGGGTTGCATTGGATAGATAGAATAGATTAACGTTGTTAGTGGTACATAATCAAGAACTAATTCAATCAACAAATTCCCCTTGCTCCCTGAAGTTGGATTGCTCTGTGTTAGCTGATGCTTATCGAACTTTGCAAGGTTAAGTGTCTATTTCATGTGTAAAAACAGTAAAATAGTTTAACTTTCTGATCCTGTCATTTAGTGTAAACACCATCTCATGTAGTACTTGTTTCACCAGCAATCTGATAACAGCTATAAGGTTCATCTGTTGGCCATTTGACATCTTCCCTAAATTAATTTAGTTTCCTATTTTGATGGCAGATTGAATCATGTGGTGGCCAAGCTATTACTTTTGGTGGTGATGCTTCAAAAGAAGAAGATGTAGAATTAAATGATGTATACCGTAAGCAAACTCCTTTCCTGGTGCAATTTATTCTAAATGTACCTTAGTGTAGTTGTTTCCAGATAATTTCACCTTATAAGGCTCATGTATGGAGGTGGTTCAATGAGGAACAGTTGATATCTTAACGTATAATGCAGGTCGACAACAGTCATACTGTCTCGTGTTTAGTTTATATCAGAAATACGGCTCAGTAGTTGTCTTGGTTTTCTTTTCAGGCATAACGCCTGATACTTTGTTGATGAGAATGAAGAAATCTCAGTGGCATAAGGGTATTAATTTGAATCTTACTGGAGTATTCCTCTGCACACAGGTCTATACAGTTGTTACGTTCTTAATTCAACCAGAACCGGAGTTTTTTTCCAAGAGATCTTTTTCCTTGTTGCAAGGTGCTGCTAAAATTATGATGAAAAAGAAAAAGGTCAAATGTTTAGCCCCTTCCTATTGCAATTCATCAAAATATGATATAGAGACGAGGCTAAATATTAGCTAACTGATTCATAAATTACCACCCGCAGTTTGAATGGTGCCTTTTCAGTCAATTTGAAGCTGCATTTATTTATTTATATAAACCATCAATGCATTATTTTATTGTTTCATGTACTCTAGAATTTTATTGAGAAGACTTATCTAAATTTTTGTAGGGGGAGAATATTCAACATATCATCTGTTGTTGGTTTAGTTGGCAATGCCCAACTATAGTGCGGCAAAAGCAGGAGTGATTAGGTTAACCAAAAGTGTCGCAAAAGCAACAGGGTCGAGAAGTACCATGCATGGTTGCCCCCCGCCCTCTCTTTCTATCTTTGGAGTGTAAACTACAAAGGAATTAATTCTTCTCAACAAGGAGAAGCTACTGACTTTTTATGACGTTTGACAATTTATTTATAACAATCTTTGTTTTCATCAGGTTAATGCTGTGGCCCCTTAATTCATTGCATCAGATATGACTTCCAAGCAAAGTGAAGACATTGAGAAGGAAATTTTGGCAAGCATCCCATTAGGTCAGGGCTAACATCCTTAGACTATATGATTTACAACTTTATCTAATATGTGGCACTCTCCTGCACGTCAAATATGGAAACGTATAGAAATCAACATTTGGGACATCTAATAGTGTGGCACCTGCAGGAGTGTTGGAGATTTTTTGAGATGTTTGCAAAAATTATTCAAACATATTTTTTGGGAGAAGCTCTTGCAAGTTGAGAAACTCGCCAAAGGTGGGTGGTGTTTCAACTTGCAAGAATTTCTTGTTTTAGAGTTACTCCTCACCAAATTCTGGAAAAACTCCATACTCTCTTGCAGATGCCATCAAAGAATCCCAAGTTGAACAAGAGTAAAAATCCAATTCCCTGCATTTATTGCAAGATCATATTACATCCAGAATAGGATATTTTCTCTGCCTTACACTTCCATCCGGCGTATAAAGTATTATTTAACTGTTTATTCACGAACAGCCAGCAAAAGGATTTTGGAGAGTCCTTTTAAACTATTTCTATTTTGTTGATTGAAAAGTTAGGGCATCATTGAGATACACTTAACAAACTGAGATACTTAAATGATCAAATGAGAGCAGAAAATTTGTTTTGTGATGTATAAATTTGCTACTCTTTCCAAGTGTTGAACGATGCATCATTTCTGATTGACTATGAACAGTAAGTCATCAATTTGTATTTTAGGCACTGCAAATATTGACAAATTTTACTGTGATGACAGGACGATATGGCCAACCAGAAGAAGTTGCTGAATTCAGTCCTGCAGCCAGTTATATTACTAGAAAGGTCGATAATGGAACGTCTATATAGAAACTTTCAGCATTTCTAGTTGGTTTCGTGAATGGCACTGAAAAGGCTGATTATTTATGTTGGCAGAGGAAACTCAGCAGCCTATATCTAAATTTTGTAATGAGCTATTACGTTTTCATCATTAGTTTTGTCCAATTCACATAGCCACTTATTTCAGGGTAGAGAGGAAGAATCAGGTCACAACAATTGGGGACAGAAAAGCCAACGCACCTTCTAGCATCTTTTTTTTCCTTTTAAACAAATCTAGTACTAAACTACGTAACTAAACTGTTTTTACCTAACCTTTATCCACTCCCAAGCAGAGAACCAACTTATACACGAGCAAAAGAATTTCAAATAAAAATATAAGATGACTGACTATCATGGCCAACCAGGTCTCTTCTGAAGCATCCTAGCTGGGGGACACTTGCATCAACTCTTGACGATCGGCCACCCATCAACTTGACGATCGGCCAAAGTAATAAAGAGATATCAATCAATCTCTCCTTCCTCTGGATCATTCGATATGTCAGGGATGCTATGTGGTTCGGCTTCTTCTTCCTCCTCTTCATCTTCATCTTCTTCCTTCATATATAATCCAAGTTGCTCCAACGGATTGCTACTTGCCTTAAATTTGAAACTCCCAAGAATATTCTCAGAATGACCAGGACTAGTCTCATCAATGAAGCTCTCTAGCTGTTCATCTGGAGCAGCTCTGAACAATTCCAGATCTTCCATGAATCGACTGTTCTCATTGATTTCAACAGTCTTCTCCATCTGCCAACACATAAATTATTAAGAGTTATAAAGTGACAGTTTCTCAATAAATGTAAACCCATCTGTCTTTACCTTCTGGAGTGCCTGACGGGCAGCTTCTCTTTCAAGTTCTCGTTTCCTTTTGGCTTCTGCAGCAGCTTCTGCCTCAGCTCTTTTACGAGCCTCTTCGGCAGCCTTAGCTTCAGCTTGCAACCGAGCTTTCTCTGAGTAAGCAGATAAACAAATAATGTGGTGGTTTTCAGAGATACAATGGAGAAATTCAGCACATGCTAACCACAAGAGACAAACCCAAAGTGTTCTCTCTGAATAAGCCGATAAACAAATAAAGAGGTGGGTGGTTTTCAAAGATGTGATTGTGGACTTCCACACACGCAACAACAGAAAACACAAACCTTCTCGCCTACGCCTTTCAAACTCCTCTCTCTCAAGCTTTAGCTTTTCTGGATCCCGCACTTCACCCTAAAATTTAAGAAGACTAGTTAAGCAAAACACTAGTACACCTGGATGAATGGAACTAAAAGATCAACTTAATGCTAGAAACACCAGCTAAAGTATGGCTTACCTTTTCAATGCTCTTCTCCTGAGCTTTTAGTATGATATCCGCAAAGCGACCTCTTAACAAAGCTGCACGGTAGAGCTTCTCAGGAGAGACTTGCCTCTCAGGTTCAGCACTCTCCTCTAAAAGGTTACAGTACATGATGAGTGAGATGGTTGCTGCAAAACTAGTAGCAGACATTTTCTTCATCTATTACCATTGCTTACCCTCTCGATGATCATCGAGCTCAGCAAAATTGGAGTTCTGCTGAGAAGTCAGCACTGTTTGGCCAGCCAATGGATCTGTAGTACACAAACACTATATCAGCACACACACATACTGACCAATAAAGCTATTAAATCTTCCCACCACCCACAGATTTACAGAAAGAAAGCAGCAATGAAAATCATGTCATTCGATTCCACAGGTTGACAACCTGTAGTTTCTGGAAGGTCAAGCTCATCTTCCTGCTCCAATCTCGCCCCAGAAGCCGCTGTTGCCTGTGGAAGAACAAAATCATTTTAGAAGGCAATAGAAGTCATCACTCAAAATAACAATTATCCAGAAGAGAACCAAATAACTTATAAAATCAGACGACAATATCCACACCTTCTGAACAACTGAATCTTTATCAGCATCCGATTCACCACCAGATGAGCTTCCAGAATCTGTACCTGAGAAAGAAAAAGAGATAACAATTTTAGCAAGTATATAGACATAGCACCTTAACTTCACAGTAAATATGGCAGCAAAGAAAATATTAACTATCCAACAGTCCAGACTTCCTACATACAAAAGCAAAAGCATAATCATTCCCGACAAATAAGAATTGCTGAGCTTTCAACTCAATGCAAGCCCCTCCTATAACAAGCAAGTTAAAAGGGCTGATTGACCTAATTCTCTCAATTAATACAGGTATTTGAAAAAATCTCGCCAATTGCTGGACAGAGCAACTTTTTTTAGGATAAGCAAATCTTAGACAAGTAACACATCTCACTTGTTACTACAATGCTATATCCTCCCAAAATAAGAGGAAAATGTGGAAACAAGCAAATAACGAGCAACTGGCAATAGGGTTGGAATATGACACAGGTACTATCCAGCAACGTACACGTCTGAGCACATAAACAAATTTGTTACCATAGGAAGTACATACACAACAATTTCAGAATAGAAGATCCAGAAACAATGGCATTATTGCCAATGGAAGTATGAGGTGGGAGATTCAAGGGTCGGGCTTTCATTGCCAAAGTTGAACAGAAAGCACAGTGAAAAATTGCGATGTCATCAGAGTAAAGAAGAAAGTTATTTTTTCACATTAATTCCTTTTTCAGTTTTAAATAAAGTCACTTCCAAGCAAGCAAACCATAATGTATTTTCTGAAAAGTGCCTATCGAGTATCGAAAGGCAATATACTTCTACTCCAAGTTCTTCAGCCGGAAAAAATCACTCAGTACCAATCTCTTTATAGATCTACATCTGCCAAGTTGTGGCTCAATAAATTTTGAAGACAGAAAGCTATCAGACATCCAACTTTTTTTTGATAATGAGCTATCAAACATCCAACTTTTTTTGATAATGAGCTATCAGACATCCAACTTTTTTTTGATAATGAACTACCAAACATCCAAGTTCCAGCAAACACTTTATATCCATAGTAATTGACAGTTCAAAAAGTTATGGCAGATAATTAGCCAATACTGCTAATGTGATTTCAAAGACCAACAAGACTCACTGTCATTCTTATAACATGTTAACGAGCTCTAACTTACTATAATGTCAGACATATGTCTAGATCAGCCAGACTTATGTAACAGGGGGTCACCAAAATCCCCACCCCCACCCAGCAAAAACACAGAAAAAAACAAGAAAAAATAATCCATACCTAATTCATACCAAAATAATATCAAGTTAAAGTTTCTAATTTGCTAGCCCACGGGAAAAATTCGTAAGAAGTTTCAATTACCTAGCCAGGAGAAATCCTACATTTTCCCTGGAATCACTCAAGTGGTAGAGTTCAAAACTGATGAGCAAGATGTAAAACAAACTTTTTTCCAGAACTTGAAATAAGTTGCTACCCCAAACGAGAGAGAGCAAACCGGTTTTTTCTCTCCATGTGAAATTCTTTTTTTTCTTTCTTATTTGAGTTACAACACCTTAATTAAATTCTAATCAGAATTGTGAAAACATCCTGCAAATAGATGAAGGTTTCTATAAAATACTGCTATAAGCAAAAAGAGATTAACCTCCTTTCGAGTAAAGCCAACATAAACATGTATTTGATGAGTTCTTAATAAAAAAATTTAACATCCTAATCTTCTTTAGGTTGTTCATTTTCCCACCAAAAGTTCCTGCCACGGCATCACCCCATCCTCGAATTCCTGCAGACATTTTGAGCCCTATCTAGGATATTTGAATATCGACAAATCAACCATCTTTCCGATACCCCAAGTACTACAGAACATTAAAAAAACAAGGGAAACAGGAACTGCAAAGTGATAGTGAGGAATCTACGCAGTTAACCTTTTCTTGTTAAGAAATGAAGAAAGGTATCCTCAGCTTAGCAATTGTGAAGGCATTTCTAACTAACAGCTACAGAGAAATACATTTTTGATACAGACCATACAGTGGGTAAACATGATCAATAAATTGGAGCTTGAGACAATTTCTGAAAATAGTGCTAAATTATCTTTTAAAATGTCAGAATAGAATGGTATCAATAGTGTCAGTGTTCATATGGAGGCAATGCTAGGTTTGATGAAGGTGGAAAAGCAGGATAGGGTCTACTATTTTGCTGCTAACACAATTCTATGCACAAACAGATCATCATGTAGGCATCTAGAAAAACTCAAGACCATTAGTATCTACACCAAATTAAGGTGGGAGGCAATTGTAAGATACTAAAGTGGTTGTAGATCTGATAAACAGTTTGAAATCTAATCGTATTGAGTTTTTCACATACACAACCAGCTAAAAGCATCTGAATTTCAAACCCCTAAACTGACCCATGAAAAAAATTCTAGTTCAAGAAATGAATAATTGATTAGGGGATATCAGGTAGATATCAGGTATATTACACATGCAAAGAGCTACAGGAAATGCACAAACAAGTAAAATAACAAGGTAATAGCGAAAGACTTCTCTTCTCGGATGTCCCATTATGCAACGAGGAAGTGAGCATGCATATGGATAAAAGGAACAAGTAAATTCTTTATTATTTACCATAATTAAATTTATAGTAAGCATGCAAGAAAAAGGCAAGGTAAGACATTCTTAATAGCACCAACCACTAGATGAAGAGCCAGAACCACTACTCGAACTACTTGAACTACTGCATTTATTGCTCCTGCGAGCTCTATCCTTCTCTATCTCCACAGGAGGGAAGCTTGAAACAGGTGGATCATTCCCACCGATATCCACTTCCTCATCTGCCGGATCATTTCCTGTATAAAGGACGGAAACACAGAAAAAAGAAAAAAGGAATAAGAAACTAAAAACTTCAACAACCACACTACATAAAGTCAAAGATCAAATCCTCCACATCTATTGATCAAAGTCACCTTTGCATGGCTGCATGGATGAATTACTGAATCCAGACTCATTGTGAAGCTGTAGAACAGTAAAGAATATGACATCAGAATTTGCTTATAAAGAGAACTAATGCTACATAGCATCTGAAGCAACACTCTAAGTATCCACATGCTGATATTTACCTCCATCTCACAGGGTTCACCTTTAGCCTGATTTTTCTGTTTCTCCAGTAGATAATCATCCAAAAGCTTCCGTAGCTCATACAAGATATCGTCATGAAGAACATCAAGATCAATCTCAATCTCATCTTCACTGACTTGA